GGTGGGGAAGAGCAGCAAGATGCTGCAGCACATCGACTACCGCATGCGGTGCATCCTGCAGGACGGCCGCGTCTTCATCGGCACCTTCAAGGCCTTCGACAAGCACATGAACCTCATCCTCTGCGAAGCTTCCGCGGAAGTCTTAGTCTCGTGTGTCAAACCCCCAAACTACCAGGCTCAAGGGGCACTTTGTTTCAGTTCTTTCCTAATAGCCAAAGTAGACCTTTACGTGATGCCAGCACAGTCACTGTAACGCTTAAGCGTTAAGCATGGAGAACACACGCAGCTTGTGTTTGGACTTCTCTGTGTACTTAGTTTGAGGCATATAAAAATTGTTTTTTACGGCAGGCTCTCTGCTCTGGAGTAGCCTAGTCATATATTCTACTGCAAATTCAAAGAGCATCATTGATTTTTTTTTTATATTTTTTTTTTCTTCTCTGTCTTGCAATGTTTTCTTCTCACTAGACCTAAAAATTCAAAACAGCCAGAGCGGGAAGAGAAACGAGTCCTTGGTCTTGTGTTGCTGCGAGGAGAAAACCTGGTGTCCATGACAGTTGAAGGACCACCTCCAAAAGATGTAAGGAGAATGAGCACAGCGCTAAGGCGAAAGGGAGGGGACACCTGATAAGTTTGCTTCCTCGCAGGAGAATGCTGTTGCAGGGTTGTCTCGACTTCTAGATGCTGTTGTGATAGGTCCAATGTCTTTCACTGCAGGAAGTTCTAATCCCTTTGTGGGCTCAGACATTAATTGACCAAAGGAGGGCTGTGGGCATCCCTAGGATCTGAGGACTTTTGCTAAGTCTGTTTTTTTGGTGGGGGGTGTGTGTGTGTGTGTGTCTGTTTTCAGACTGGAATTGCCCGGGTACCTCTTGCTGGAGCTGCTGGAGGACCTGGAGTTGGGAGAGCAGCAGGGAGGGGAGTCCCAGCTGGTGCACCGATGCCACAGGCTCCAGCAGGATTAGCTGGCCCTGTCAGAGGAGTGGGAGGACCATCCCAACAGGTGAGATGCTATGACCCATTAAAAGGAGTTGTCTGGTATATTCTGGGGTGGCTTTTGATTCTTGGTACCAATGGGATGCAATAAATTGGTGGAGTGGAAGAACTGTCATCTTAGTTTCTGTTACCAGGGAATTTGAGCCTAGTGAGGCAATTTTTTGGTACTAGATCCCCCTAGGAATTCTGTCTTACATGATGGAAGAAAAGGCTTGGAAAGTGCAGCTTCTTGCACAGAATTCAAGTGGTATCCATTGAATTGTATTACAGGTTTGTAGGACTATTTACTACGTTAAGAGGAAACTGGTGTAATTTTCTGAAGGGATAAGAATTTAAATCTTGCTTATTTCTTAGTTATTATTGGAACGCAGATGTTGTGCTGTTCCTCTCTGAACCTATTTATTTTGTTTACAGGTGATGACACCTCAGGGTCGTGGAACAGTTGCGCATAGCAGGAGCCCCAACTCAATACACACCAGGGCGTGGGGGTCCTCCCCCACCCATGAGCAGAGGTGCACCTCCTCCAGGTAGGAATTACTGTACAGCGTGGGGCAGCAAGGAGCTCATGTAATGTGGCAAACCTGATGAATGAGAGGCATTCACCCGAGTCTGATGATCTGGTATCATGGAGGACTACTCCGCTGCCAACTAGTGCCTTGAATATTCAGCTGGATTCTTTCTCTTGCTTAAGGAATGATGGGACCTCCTCCAGGCATGAGACCACCTATGGGCCCACCAATGGGAATGCCACCTGGCCGAGGTGCTCCTATGGGAATGCCCCCACCGGGCATGAGACCACCACCCCCAGGCATGAGAGGTGAGCGGAGGTTATCTTAAATGCCTAGAAGCTGTAACAGAAATAAAATGTTTGAAGGGTGATCCGTTCCAATGCCTCCCTAGCTATGCTAGTTGCCAGTAGATTCTTCAGTGCCAAAAAAGGGGTCCCAAGGCCACTTTGAACATGGCGAGAACATCTTTCTGGTTTAGCCTTGCTTCCTCTTTCCTCTTCCATACTCAACTTGTTCCTTTATTCCCAGGACCCCCTCCACCTGGCATGCGTCCACCAAGGCCGTAAGATACTCTATAACGTATCTTTGAAATGTGAGAAGACCGATTAAGGGAATATACCGAGCAGTACCACCCGTCAAAACTTTGCTATGTATATTTTATATCTACTGCCTGTGAAGTTTGCCCTTTTTAATAAAGTTGGAAAACCCACTACTTTTGAGTCACTGTTGTAAGGTCTGTTTTCAGGATTGCAACCGTTACCTTTCACTACAGCACTTTGGTCACCCCAGAGAGCAGGTTTGAAGCAAAAAGCTCAATTTGTATTGACAGCTCAGAAGTTAACAGTTGGTCTGGGCCACATAGGTCTACATTGGATCTTGTTCTTAGAGGAATTAAAGTGTATCAATGAAATGTAGTAAGGCTGATGGAAAAATGTTGGGATGGTAGAGATGGTAAAAATTCAAAGGAAGAGTTTAACATTTCGATGAAATTAAGTATGGGTTACTGATGAGAATTCTCTCTGCTTTATTCACATATAGCAAGTACAATGGCGCCTGTATTAGGAATAGTGATCTCTGCTCTGCATTAAGCTGCTGCTTATTAGCCTACAGTAAAGCCGCTTGATCTTTATAGGTGGAGCTGTACTTAAGAGTTAAAAAAAAAAAAGCCACTATGAGCAAACCTGTCATTAATGGCATACAATAATGTCAAACAGCCTGCCTTCTGGTTGTAGTCTTTCCTTCTTGCCTCAGCTTACATCTGCTGTCTCTTCGGTTAGGAGGGAGCTGTCTGCTGCCCTCCCTGCCCCCCCAGCCACCTTTGGAGATAAACCTTTCCTCAGAGAGTAGCCTCTTAGAGATTTGTTTTAATTCCTGTGACTGTTATTTCTGAAGCCATTTTTGTGACAGGTAGTCTGAAAAACTTTTTTCTCCTATTTTAGAAATAGGCTCTCAACCACAGAAATCCTTTTCAGCCTTAAGAATTAATCAAGATCACAGAAGTATACGAACAAAGCAATAAGCGTTCTCCAGTTTTTGCCCCAAAGACAACTTGACTTACGCGAACTAAAAGTCTGATGGAAAGATGTAACACATCCCACCTCTCAGTTGCTCTAGCTATCCCATAAACCGGGCAAACTTCAGGAGAAAAAAAAAAAAATTCAATCTTTTATTGCTCAGGCTGCTGAAAATGTTTTTACACAGGGTCTTCAACCACGTGTTAATGAACATCCCAAAGCTATTCCAGAACTTCAAGAAAAATTATTCCATTTTACTGAAGCTGTCTCCTCGCAGTACAAAGGAATCCAGGCCCTGGAGAGAGCACATCTGAAATGTCTTCATTGTCCACATTACCCATTTGGTAATTAACAACAGTTCTTACTTTCTCTTGTACCTGAAAGAGAAGATATTTGAAATTACATTCCACCAGCCCAACTCTCAATGATAGAGAAGAAACAGCACTGAGCATTTTCTAGGCAATGCTCTCCCAAGTGGAAGCCCCCAGCATCAGACCTATAGTAGGAGGGTAAGCTACTGCAGAACCAACAAACCTTTTAGCAAGAGCCTTTAAACAATCACAAGAGGAGGAAAGAGAAAGCAGGAAGAAAGAAAACTTGAATAAGAAAGTAAAGGGAGCTATACCTGGACTTGGATTTGAAGGTTCCTCCTTTCCTATGCTGGGCCATACCCAAGCGTTTTCGATCTTCAAATGATGGGCTTTTTAAGAGAGAGGGGAGGGCGGGAGGTAAGACAAAAACCACTGAAGTACGTCAACAGCACATGTACTTCTTACAAGAATCCCTTCTCTGCTCTGCCCACCTTTTCCCCCAATATCAGTCAAAGTATCCCTGAGAAAGTCCAGAGATGCAAAAAAAATCCCACCTACTCAAGCCTGGACTCGTACTACTGCTAAGACATTACCCGGCACGGTACTGCTTCAGAGCCTTCCTGCTTGTGTTGGTAAGCTCTTCGTCAAACACAGACTGTTTTTTCTTCCGCTTGGGGCCTACACAGAGACAACAGAATATTGGCTGTAAAGAGAAGGCCAGAGCATCATCTTGTTTACTAGAGCCTAGCAGCTTTGACCACAACAATTATCCTAGCCAGCAGGAAAAGCAACGACTCCTCTCTGCAAACACTTTGGCCAGCACTGGTGGCCATGCCCTCAAAGATGAGCGCCTCCCTCTACACAAGATAATTTAGTTTACATATTTTGTAACAAAGTGATGTAAGTAAGGTAAGTCAGCTGTAAAACAAACATTTCCACCTGCTGGTACTGCTGTAGGTTCCTCTTCTGGCAAGGCTCTGGCTCGCTTTGCTCGGCGATTCCTTTTTGCCAGCCGCTCAGCATACATTTGAGATTTCAAGATTTCAAACTGTGACCTCTCCTCTGGCTGAAAGGTGTTAAAATGCAAGTTTAGACTGATGTGAGGTTTTGCTAAGGGAAAATGAGGACAGTCCACTCAGCATCCCACTTGTCCGCAAATGTACTCACTGTCATTTGGACTTTTTTCTGTCTGTCCCGCATAAATTTCTTCCTTTTCTTTTTGCCTCGTAATGCTAGGTCAAACTCCTGCAGGGCTTTAGCCACTGGAGAGACAAAGAAAAGCATAGAATAAAGAACCTCTTGAAGTACACAGTCGAGTCCTGTTGCAGCTATGGCATTTAACGTGGCAGCAGTGTCATGACTCACGTTTCTCTTTCTTCCTCTCCTCACGGGTCTGGAACCAGCTGCGCTCCAAACCCTCACCCGCAGTCTCTTGTTTTCCTGTCTCCAGCTGCTTCTTTGCCCTATTGATCTGAGATAATTCAGGCAAGAAGTGAGCTTATGGTGGCTAAAAAACCTCTCTCTCTTCCCTTTCTAAAGTAGACAAGTTAAGTACGTGAGGGTAACCTCCTTATGCACTGCATCTACTCCAGACCCTGAAAAAACTAGGGTTAAAAAACCTATCCCAAAACACCTCTTACCTGGGCCTCTGACTGCTGCATCTCACGTTCCTCACGCTCCAAGCACAGAACCGCATACACATCTTTCTCTAGATTCTCGATCTTCTCTCGAAATTTTAGTATGACATCTGAAAACGATACAGTGTGAACATCAGAAGCAGCTCATGTAAAGTCCATCCTGGTTTTCAGCATCTCTCTTAGTGTCCCTCTGTACCATGATATTCCCTGCCTGCTGCTCTCCTGCTTTTCACCTCAGCGAAGTGCATACCTTGGGGGAGAGTTCTGGCTTTCACTGGTGTTTTGGCAGTCTTCACAATATCCTTCAGCATCTTGCGCTCTTCCTCACCCACAAGTGAAACTGAACGACCAGCCCTGCCAGCTCTTGCTGTCCGACCCACTCGATGAACATAGTGTTTGGTGGTGTTGGGCATGGTAAAATTGATTACCTATAACAGAAACTGTGTTAGTAGGAAAACGATATTAAAGGACTCATTAAAAAGCTCAGCATTGCAAATACTCACTGTTTTAACACCTTCAATGTCAAGTCCGCGTGCAGCCACATCTGTAGCTACCAGAATATCAATCTGCTCATCCTTAAAGCGCCTGAGCAGACAGCAAATGCATTAGTAGTGAATGTAGCTATCAACTTCTGCCCTAAAACTTCCAGCTCCTAACTTCTTTTTTGCCTATGATTGCCAACTAAGCCTGCTAATACCTGAGTGCTTCCAGCCGCTGTGCCTGAGAGAGGTTCCCATGAAGCTCCCCAACCCGCAGACCCATCAGCCCAAGCAGGATGTGCATACGGTGAGCTTGCTTCTTGGTCTGGGTGAAAAGCATCACATGATCTGGGAAGGTTCGTGTCAGTAGAGCTGAAACAAAAGTCCTCTCAGTAGCCTGCTTCACAGTCACCTACTGATTCCAGCTTTTCTTTGCTCACCACTAACCTGATACAATGGCCTCACGGTCCCCCTCTCGGTTGGGTCTGATCCGGATAAATTCCTGCCTCAGGAAAGGGGCAACATCTGTGTTGCTGTTCACAAAAATTCGGATGGGACTTTTCAGGGAAACAGAAGCCAAATCTTTCACCTACCAAAACAGGTTAAGAAAAAAGAAGTCCACATGGGCTCTGGTAAAAGCCTAGACAAACTTCTATTCAGCTTTCTGCCTCACCATGCTTCTCAGCAGCCTGTCTTACCTCTTCTGTCATTGTGGCGGAGAAGAGCATTGTCTGACGGTGGCTGGAGCACAACCTGATTATTTCCTTCATCTGTTCCTCAAAGTATTCATCCAGCATCCTACACAGGAGAAAAACAGCAAGGTAAGGCAGCTTCATCTGGTTGTAGCTAAGAAACATTACTTAAGGCACAGCAACAAAGACTGCCCTGTAGCCTGGGAAAAGGACAGCAGAAAACTACCATCTCGGTTCTCACTGCTGTCCTGCTTAGCCCTACCTGTCCGCTTCATCCAAAATCAGCACCTCAACACTGCTCAGGTGGAAGGAAGGGCAGTTGTGAAGATGATCAATCAGTCGCCCAGGAGTGGCGATAAGAACATCTGGCCCAGCGCGCAGAGCTGCTTCCTGAGTCTTCACATCTAGGCCACCTGAAAGAGAGCAAACACAGACTGCTGACCCCCTGAGCAGGTTGCAGCAGAGCACACAGATCCAAACTGCCTGAGGAACAGGAAACAACTCAGATTAGTACCACATTCACAATGAGAAGTGACTCCACCTTTTCTTTCTCAGAAACTGACAAACAAGAAGTATGGCACTTTCCAAGTGAGGCTTTAAACCATAGCATGCCTACTAGAAGCATGCCTGCAATAACTGTACAGCCTCCAGTTTTATAACACAGAATCTCCAGTTCTGTATAGCAGTTTGCAGCAACCTGTACAGTTCACATAAGCAACTTAATATTCTCACTCACCTACAGCAAGGCAAGTTGTGACACTGCTGAACTGTGCCAGCTGTTTTGTGACAGAGTGCACCTGAATACCTAGTTCTCGCGTCGGCACTAGAACCAATACCCGTGTTATTGGAGCCTGACGAGGTTTGTAAATCAGGCGCTCAAGGACAGGCAAGATGAAGGCAGCTGTTTTACCTAAAGAAGAAAATTAAGAAGAATTACCAATTATTGCGAATAGCTAGTTCTCCATGTTTCCCGTGATCTTGTCAACGCCCTACCTGTCCCAGTAGCAGCACAGGCACAAATATCCTTCCCCAGAAGACCCACTGGGATACAAGCCTTCTGAATTGGGGTTGGTTGCTTGAAGCCAAGAGCTGTGATTGCCTACAAAGGAGATAGAGCAATTAAACTTTGTCTCTGGTATGGCCACACCTGGAGTACTGTGCCCAGTGCTGGGCTCATCAGTACAAGGGAGACACGGACATCCTGGAGAGAGTCCAGCAAAGCGCCACGAAGATAACGAAGGGACTGGAGCACCTCGCCTGTGAGGAAAGGCTGACAGAGCTGGGACTGTTCAGCCTGGAGAAGACCTGGGGAGAATCTTATTCATGTATATAAATACCTGAAGGGAGGGTGAAAAGAGGACAAAGCCAGGCTCTTTTCAGTGGTGCCCAGTGATAGGACCAGAGGCAACAGGAACAAACTATAACACAGGGGCTTCCCTCTGAACACCAGGAAACACTTTTTCACTGTGAGGGTGACCGAGCACTGGCACTGGTTGCCCAGAGTCTCCATCCTTGGAGACGCTCAAAAGCTGTCTTGACATGCTCCTGGGCAACCAGCTCTAGGTGGCCCTGCTTGAGCAGGGGGTTGGACAGGACAACCTCCACAGGTCCCTTCCAACCTCAGCTGTTCTGTGATTCTGTGACAAGCCTCACTCAACATAGTGTTGACATATTGCAAATCAAAGAATAGTTTCCATTATTTGGGAATAGCAGCTCCTAAAGGACTATCACACTACCTCCCACGTAATCTCCTTTTCAGAGAGGCCGCAGAGAGAAGAGGAATTTGACAGTTCTGACTGGTGGAGGGGAGGCTGTACAACATTCTTCAGAGTAACCTGTGTAGTAACTATACTAGGTAAATACCTTTAGCAAAGGTCGTGAAAGATTCATGTCCTGGAATGACAAGTTATCATCATATTGAGAGGCATCTTCAAAAAAGCTCTCTGCTTCCTAGAAACAGGAACAACAACAAAACTGGAACAACACATGCAGCAACGCAACATGTTCTTAAGGGGCTCTGCACTGATTTTTGAGCTACAGTTTGTTAACCAAAGTCAAATTCCCCCAGAAGAAATGCTGGAGAATGACCTAGCATAATTCTGTCCAACACTTACAATTTCTCCCTTTTTCGATCTCCTCCGTTCCTTTACTTTGACCGTATCTGAAGAGAAAGAGAAATGGGACAGAAATCAACAAGCACGGCTAAACACATAACAAGATATGGTGACTACCTTCATCTCATACTTATTGCTCTGAATGATTATTGAGGGAGAAGCCTCAGAAACAAGTACAGGCATGCACTGTAGTAACACATCAAGCGAACAGCATTCCTCAGGGACGAGTTCAATTATGGCTACCATTCAAAATAAGCTTGACCAAAATCAGAAGCAATGTTGCAGAAGGAGGACAACAACAACAACAGCAAAAAAAAAAAAAAAAAAAAAAAAGAGGTTCTTGCCCATTCCTAGCAAGGCTTCACTACAGATTTTTCTCTAGTGAGCCAACAGTCTGTCAGAACCTTGCCCCTGACCATCTCTCTATATACTGCTAATACCTGCTTTTGCGAAGATAGTTTCATCATCCAACGAATACTGAGACTCCACATCTTCTTCTTTGTCCCTACTGAAATCCTCACACTCATTCTTTTTGGTTTGCTCATCCTCAGTCTCTGCATCTTCATCTCTCACTTTTGTTTGTTTAGCTTCTCTTTCCTAGAAAAAGATGAAAAAAATGTTTTAAAAAGAAAGGATAAAAAAGAAACTTCGATCCTTTCTGAGCTTTTATTTGTTGTTATTATGAGCCCATTCACAGATACATCATTTTGCCCAACCTTAAGCATTAACGATTCTGCATTCACATCAGTTCAGCAACACACCACGTGTGGCTGGAAACCCAGTCGAGGTGACGAGCTGCAGCTTGAACACTGCAGCTCAGGATGCTTTCAGAGTCTGCGCCTCTGGTGGGAATGCAGCAGCGGGTCAAACCCACGCCAATCTTTTCAGTAATGAGAGAGAAAGGCCCTGACCTGAAACTTCCTTTTCTGTCTCACTTTCTCAATCTTCTCATCCAGCGTCGTAACCGCTCTCTACACAGGAAATCACAAAGATGAGCTGTAAGAGGAGCTCGGGAGAGCGTGGGGCACTGCGGCCTCGGGCACCGCCGCCCCAGTC